CATCTTAGACTATCATTCCATTCTTTCAATCTGACTTCCATTTTGCTGGAGTGGAATAATAATAATACTGATTAAAACTAAGACTTGGAGATCTACAGTTGCAAGTCTGGCCTTTGCAGAAATTACCATTCTGACAAGAACAATATTGAGGGCCAGCCCTAATTGTGGTGTGTTATTTCTTGACCTAACATAAGCTGGTAGTCACAAAGGGCAGATTTCTGCTCTGTCTTTGTATAGTTATAGCACTGTCAAGTGTATGTTGCATTAAAGGTCACTTGTAATATCATACTTTGTGTAATGCTATTACTACATTTTGGGTACTGGGTTACAGAGAAACATTCAAAAATGTTTCATAGTACTCATCACAAAAGAGAGAAAACAAACCTCCTTAATAGTTTTTCCTGATGTACTGAACAAAAACATTCCAACTGCTTTGGAAGACACTCCTGTTAATTTAAAGTCATAATTCTAAACATAAACATGAAGAAAATGTCAGCCCTCCCTGAACTAAATGCTAAGTTAGAACCAATTTTACTTTCAACAATCTAAAGGGCACAATATTTTTAGGAAGGAAAATCCGATAACACAGCCTAAACCCCAGCAAGCAAAAGAACTCCTAATGACTGCCTTTAATGCACAGATGCATAGACACCAGAAGTAAGAGACAAAAGCCTTAAACTTCGAAGGGAACTGGAGTTAATTCCAAATAATGACTGAGTGTGGTAGAATGGCAGAAGTCCACGACTGTTATATATAAATGCTTATCCAAGCATCATGTAGTTCTTACAAAGTAGTAGGTGAGGGATCCTCCTTCAGAGAGGTTTCACCTCCATTATAGCTAATGGGTATTGATCCTGTGATTAGCTGATCTAGGACTGGAAGGTTAAAGCATCAGTTACACAGATGCCTTAGCCATATCCTCCCTAAAGGTAGGACTGGGTAATCTTAGAAGTTTTGCAATTGTAAAAGTGCACACACAAGTCAACCTTTCACTCCAAATAACCACCGATTATTTCAACACCGGTAAGAAAGTAATATATCAATATATCAACACCGGTAAGAAAGTAATCATGAACACTATACTCTAATACATTCTAGTTCTCCAACTAAGTATATCAGGATTTAAGTAATTTTTAACTGTTACTATTGAAACCAATTCTCAATGTTAATTATCTAATAATACCTTTTTAAAACACCACTTCCATAAACAAGTAAAAGCAACATCCAGATACAATGAATATAACCAGCCAATTACATGCATGCATCAGGTGTGAAAACACAAGGGGAAGAGGACCTTAACACCCATTATCTGTGATAGGATACGCTAATCCCAGTTCAATCACTATACTTACATTTCTGCATTACCTTGGACAAATTCCATTTACACACACTGCCACCATCTGGGTGCAATGCAGCTTCCATTGTTACGTGTGACATCACTGTGTTGCTACGGAAATGAGTGCGAGGTCATAAGTCTCCCACATAACTGGAATGGGGGTGGAAGAAAATTAAATGGGATAAGAACAAGAGGGGCAGGAACTAAGTATCAGGATGAGCTACAGCCAGTTCCCCAAGACGGATTTGTATCTCACTTCCACATAATAGAATGGTAACATCCAAAAGGTTCATTAGGTATTGGAAAAGGTAGTGAGTAAAGATTTCCAGAGAGTCAAATGCAATGGGCCAAAGTAAGATACTATAATATCTTGGGCTTTTGAAAGAAGAGATTCAACATATCCACACCTCCTTTCCCGTATTATATCTTTTTCTTTAAAAAAAGAATAATTACTGCTAAGAAACTTTTAAGAAAAAATACAAAAATAAACCAACAGCATTCTAGAGGGCTGTTACAGAAATTACTCATCAAATAGTAATGAAATGGAAAGCTTTGTATGGTATATATAGTTTATTAATTGCACACAGCCGCTCAAATATATTCTATAAGAAAAAGAACCACTGGTATCAAATCATATTGCAGAGATGGGCTGTCAAATATTAACACAGAACCACCACGCCACTACACTAAATCCCCACCTCCATCCCATTTATATTGGTAGCTGCATCTTTCTTCACTCCTAACCAAGCTTTGGCAGCTCTATCTGCTTGACGAACACAAGGTTACAGCAAAATGGTGCAGTAAGAGAAAGAACAGCATCCTAGGCAGACTGCGACAGTTCTGGATCAGTATTCACTATTCATCAGAGAGGGAAGCCACCCCAGCCTCTCTTAAAGGCTCAGACCTGACTAACAAGGCAAATATAAAGAACAGTTCTCTCCTTTAAAGCAACCCCTCCCTCCCTCTCTCCACCCAGTCTAGCCTCTCTGCAATATGACAAATGCAGAATCTTCTGGAATGACTTGATACTGCCTCCCACGACCGCTTTGTTTGCAAGATCAGATCAAAGATATATATTTTTTATTTCTTGGATTTTAAAAAGAGGTCACTTTTTAAAAAATATCACAGTTCCATGAGCATCTATTATTTTTAAGCAGAAAACATTAACACATTATGGCTTAACACTGAACAAATCTCCCCATAAACATTTTAAAAACTACAACACAAATATTAAGACTTTACAGGAAAAGAAAACAACCGATCTCCATAAACAGAGGTGTTTCTCACAGCAGATGCCTGAAGGATATGCAAGTATGGACAGTGAGAAACAGCCCACAGAAAAGATGTACACACTGGTTAACCTACATACTCTTTATATTCCATTGAGATTTCTCTGTGCAATATCTCATTTAAGAGAAATGTCAAATGGGAAACTGAGGGGATGGAAGATTTACAGTTTATTAATGTTATGCTTTTACTAGTCTAAAGTACATCTTTGGTTACAGAAGATAGCTGACTGCCCATCGAAAGGTAGATTAAGGGAGGAGGTAGCAGACAGTGGGTGGGGTTGCCTGTGGGGGTGGGCACATTAGCTGAATTATTTCATGGGAAAGCTGGCAAAGAGCGGCACCGCCCAAATAGCAGAGAGGAAAATGGGGACATGGACACCTATACTTTCCACCACTACTTACACCATCTGAGGAGGACCTTGCAGAATTCCCACAATATGGTGTCAGAAAAGGAAGAGGGCAGTACAGGTCATCGACAAACTACTCATACATGACACAGAGCCTCCCCCAACCAAGGAAGATATACCATTTTAAACTAGGCCTAATGCTAATGCACAATTGAGAACAGTTCATTTACTACATCCAGAAGGAACAAAGACATTGTGAGAATAAGGATACAGGTAACAAAAAAACCCTAGTAAGACATGGAATGAAAAAGAGATGCCAAATTACAGCACACATCACCACTACATGAGTACTCAATAGAAGGAGGAACAGAAAATACCATCAAGCCACTACTGGCAAAGCATCAGAACAGTAGTCAGGCATTTTAATGGTACCAGCATACCTGAACAGAGGACTAGGCCATTTAGTATGCTAAGACAAAGGTAGGCGCAATCTACCCAGAAGGAAGTAATAGGAGATGGGGGAGTTCTATTCAGTATATGTCAAAAGGGATGCCTGTCATAAGAATGACAACAATCTTAGAAGGCAGGGAAGGGTAGTGTCCCATCAGATACAGGAAAGTTTCAGCTTCTGGCAGGGGTATTTCCCAGGGCTGGGGGGGGTCCCTGGGGGGGGGGGGGGGGGGAGAGACAGGGTGAAGAAGCATGTTCATTACCATACATACATTTCCCTTTGCATTACTAAGGGGAAAAGGCTGCCTCACAGAGGGCCATTTTCTAGAGCAATGAGTTGGAGAGAAGACATGAGCATCCTCAAGAGACCATTCTTCTTACTAACTATACCTTGCTTTTAATGTGTCACTGATGTATCTTAAAATCCTGGAATATTGTAAAGGTGTACATCTTTTTGCATGACTGGTCTAAGGACAGTAGAAATAAATTGATTGATTGATTACTAACTATACCAAAGCTGCATTTTTTTTAGCAAACTGGCATTCAAACTAGCATACCAGGCAATGAAACAGTATCAAACACGGTGCGCATGTACTACAATACTGAAAGGGGAGAACTGAAACAGATTCTTGACCTAGGGAGAGGCAGCCTCCTTTTGCCATGTGCACAAGTGAAGACATGTCAAAGAAATAGAAATGGTCTTTGCCCCTGAAGAGGCCATCATCCCTAGCAGGAGAGCATTTTGGTGTGGGAGGGGAACAGAAAACAAGATCGTGAAAGAAAGCTATTTGATCCTAAAAGCATTTCCTTAGCAGGATGTGCACCACCCCACTCCCATAACATGTCACTTTATCCTTAAGAGAAAAAGATCTTCCCTTAATTATAAATATATAGAATGTGGAACTTTTACGATGTTCTGTCATTACAAATGAGGCAGGATGTACATCTAAAATAAATCTGAACATATGAACTGGAAGAGGGAGGCAGGGTAAGCAGCCAAGAGCATCCATAAAGGGGAACGTTTGCTCCCCCAATACTGGAAGGAGAGATGAATAAAAGCAAATATAATCGGTATTTTTTTCCCCTTCCTTTTCAACACCCCATATTTCCTCTCCTTTGGATGCAAACGTTTTATCCCCGTCCACCGCCTCCCCCTCCATCAATTGAGATCGGAAGTTTTTAAGAATACTTCCTTCCCCTTACCTCAAGAAGCAGGCACATTTCCACCAACCCCCATAAAAGAATTCTCTCCACCTCCATATTACTTTATAACAGCACAGATTTCCCTCCTCCTGAACTGAGAGGCATATTCTCCAAAAAAAAACCCAACACCCTTATAAATTAGCTTCTCTCCTTTTTGGTTATGCGGCCCCCCGAAACGCGTGTATATTCCTGCCCCCGATAAGTGCCTTCCTTGAGCTACTCTATCACAGTCACAGCCTCTTCCAAACGAAAGATTTGAAGTTCCTCTGAGGGGAGAGACGGTGGCCGACAGCGGGCCGTGAGAGGACAGCGGCCCCACCATCCCAGCTTCGGGGGTCCTCTCGTCCCCCCATCCCTTCATCGCAGCGGACTCACGTTCTTCATGGTGGCCACCATGTCATCGTATCTGTCGGCTTGCTCAGCCAGCCGGGCTTTCTGCAGCAGCTGCTCACGGTCCACCATCTTCTTGGCTTTCGGGGCGGCTGCGGGGAGAGGGGGCGGCTTTTGGGGGGGCTTCCTTTTCCTCGCGCTCAAGAGAAAACGGGAGAGAAAGGAAAGGCTAAGCGAGGGCAGGTCGCGAGGTGGGCGAACAGAGGAAGGTGATTGGCCGGAGCCAGCTGGCGTGCGAGGCGGCGGTTTAACGGAGGCGGACCCGTGCCTCACTCCCTTTCTGCCTCACTCTCTCTCCCCCTCCCTCACGCTACTGCTGTAATGACGGCGGCGCTCCCTGGCAAAGAGCTCGCCGCGCCCAGTCCGAGTACGCAGGCGCCTCCCCCTCCTCTCTCTTCCACCGGCCCGCCGTTCTGCCTTCTTCGCCGACCGAGCCACGCCCCCTCCCATCCTCAGCCACACCGCAGCGCTTTCATTCGCCACCGGCGCGAGCCCAACGGCCACGCCCTTCTCCCCCTCCTCTCGCGTCCCAGCCGCTATTAAAAGCATCCTGGGAGTTGTAGTTCCACCCTCCGGCAAGAGAATGAGGACGTTGGGCAGACTTGGAAAGAGGGTCTTCGTGCGCGATGGGACTCCGTTTCCCAGAGAGCCACGCGCGGCCTGGGTGGTTTTTAATAAATTTTTAGTTTTGTCTAAATATAAAGTACGAATATACGTGATATATCGGTATCAAGCGAAGCTGATGGTTGGTAATACAACGAGATCAATAATGTTAAATATTATATTATATTGAGGTATCCATACAACAACTAGTATATAGATATTATTAGTGAAGCTGCTTTTTGCTCAGTCATAGTGTTCGTCTATCAAGGTCAATATCATCTACTCTGGTAGCAGCTCTCCAGGGTCTTGATCTTTCACATCACCTACTACCGGTCCCTCCTGTTATACTCCCCTGCCTCGGAGAGAGGACTCTATGGCATTATACTGGGCTGAGATCCCTCTCCAGCCCATACCCCACCCTTCCAAGCACTACCCCCCAAAATCTCCCGGAATTTCTAAATCCGGAGTTGACAACCCTACCTTCAGCCTTCAGTGTCTAGATAGTACTTCCTGGAGGGAAAGGTAAGATTTAAAACAAATGTCACAGTTGTAATCAAAATGTATTAAAATGATAAATAGAACAGCAATTAAAAACATAACAAATATGGATCATATAATAAGTATATCAACATTTCAATCTATATATCTAATAGCGAAAGGCGCCCCCTGCATGCGGATACCTAAAGCCGCGCATCGGGGGCACCTGGGGGGGAGGGAGATTTTTGTGCACACTTGGGGCAGTCCCCAGGTGTGCACAAAAATCTAAAAACCTGAAAAAAATATCAGGGGGATACTTAAATCCCCCCAAAAGTGACAGAGCGTCCCCTGCACATGCTCTCGCCGCCACCGCTTGAGGGGGGAAGAGAGCAGCGAGGAGGCGGGGAGGGAAGAGCAGCGAGGCCCCCTCGCTTCAAAGCCAAGGGGGAGGGAAGGGGGGGAGATCGAGCAGGGGGGGTGGAGGAGACGGGGGAGGAACCGGCGAAATGGGGGGGAACTTACCTCCTCCTCCTGCTTCCTCCTCTGCCTCCTGTGTGGAGGTCCTACCCCCGCGAGTATCGCGGGTCCCGCCCCTTGTAATATACTATTGATCATGTGATTGTGTTAAAAACCTCCAGGTTAACTCAGATGATCTTCAGCATTAATAACAAACACAAATACATGTATATAGTGTTGTATTTTATGGTGTTAGATTATATAAATATGTATTAAATGGACAATGAAGAAAGCCCACAGGAAGAAAGTAGATTCCTTTGAAATGTGGTGTTGGATGAGAGTTTTACAGATACTGTGGTGGTGTGTACTGAGCATGGGTCATCCCTGAGTTAGTGACCAATGTGGAAGTAAAGGTAAAGGTAAAGGTTCCCTTGCTCGAAAGCCAGTCGAGTCCGACTCTAGGGTTGCGGTGCTCATCTCCGTTTCAAAGCCAAAGAGCCAGCGCTGTCCGAAGACATTTCCGTGGTCATGTGGCCGGCATGACTAAACACCAAGGCGCACAGAACGCTGTTACCTTCCCACCAAAGTGGTACCTATTTATCTACTTGCAATGTCTTGCTTTCGAACTGCTAGGTTGGCAGGAGCTGGAACTAGAGACGGGAACTCACTCCGTCATGCGGCAACTCAGGTCCTGAACTGCTGAACTACTGACCTTCCACAGCCTGCAGTTCAGTGTCTTAACCACTAGAGCCACCGCAGCTCCTAATGTGGAAGTAATGTTATGTAAATAGCCTATCCTTGGGAGTGGGGTGTGTTTGGGTGTGGTACTTGCATGCTATTTAAACAGGGCAGCAGCCCTGGAGTCTTGTAGTGTTCCTGAAATCACTTCATAAAGTAGAGCTGTTCACTGTAGTACTGGTGACGAAGGTGGGATCCTGTTGAGCCAGCCCAGTGCCCATCTGCACCGCACCATGCACCGACCTCCAGTACCACGCTCATTGCACCGCACCCGGGAGCATGGCTGCCACTCAAGGACACTTCAACACATTCGACTACGTCTCCCGTTTCGAGTTTTTCCTCAAGTCCTCCGAGATCACTGAGAACGAAAAGAAGCGTGCTACTTTTTTCCACGTCTGCAGCCGCTCAACCTTCGAGAGCACTCATTTGCTGTTGGCTCCAGCGGACAAGACGATTACAGACCGGCTCCAGGAGCACTTCTCACCGAAGCCCTCCATCATCGCAGCCCGCCACACGTTCCACACTAGGAATTGATTATCGCCAGACGCCAGGGCTATTTTTGGGCAGGAACGCACAGGAACGGAGTTCCGGCTGGCTCCCAAGTTGGCCACACCCAGCAGGAACTCATTAGCATAATAGACCACACCCAACAGCAGAAACTCATTAGGATTGGCTACATTAGGGGTGTGTGGCCTAACATGCAAAGGAGTTCCTGCTACAAAAAGAGCCGTGGTTTGACAACAGACAAGGTAAACAGAATAACAAGCAAAAGGTGGGTGTGGCTGGATAACCACACTTCTGGTAATATGGAGGTCCGGCCTAATGTGCTAATGAGCTGTGCTGTCAGGGGTGTGGCCTAATATGCTAACGTGTTTCTGCTGTTGGGTGTGGCCTATTATGCTAATGAGTTCCTGCTGGGCTTTTTATACAAAAAGAGCCCTGAATGTTACAGCCCTCCAATGGGTCGCCCGACTGTTGCCCTGCAAAGAGCTTATAACGCTCTTATGAGCCATAACTGATAGCTGGACTGTGTAGTGAATGTGCCAGAGATGGACTGTATGGTGACCACAAGCTGATGCCAACTGCCTGGACTGTGAACACAGTCCCCATAGTTATTAATACATTAAGCAATTTGGCTAACAGGACATTGTAACTTCCATGACCTCGAGGAAGCGCTCCGTGACCACCTGGTGTGTGGACTGCGAGATGAGTGAATCCAATGGAGGGTCATCGCCAAGCAAGACCCCAAATTCAAGGAGGCCATGGAAGAAGCCCTCACCACGGAAGCCGCCGACCAGTTCACAGCGGAGGTCCGACAGGCACAGAGCCCACCATATTTGCGGAGACCAACCACTACAGCACACCATGTGGACACCTCCAAAAAGGACAAAGAGGTACTGCAACTACATCGAGCAGCCTGCCTCACGCTCACCCATCTGCTTCAGCACGCACAGTCAAACCTGCCACATCGACACCACGCACCAGCTGCGGGGAGCCCCACAAGAGGAGGTCCTGCCGTTTCCGAGATGCCACGTGCAGGAGCTGTGGAAAGGTTGCCCACATCGCCCGGGCCTGCCATTCCAAAGGAAACCAGTGGCGATTGACTGCACCTCCGGCGTCTGCGCACACAACGGAACTACACACCACCTCCATCCAGCAGCAACAGGTACTGAACTTGCCCCGGACACCCCCGATAATATTAAAGTGACAGTCTTGATCGAGGGAACCCCCTGCAGGATGAAGCTAGACACGGTGCCCTCTATTTCCATAATCTCAGAAGACACCTTTAGAAGGCTGTGCCCGAGGGGGGCCCTCACCTTAGACCGGCCGGTTTCACCCTACAGGACTTCCAACAAAATGAGGTGGCCGTGAGAGGGGTGGGCAAGTTCCAGGTGCAGTACCGGAATTTTGATGGACTTTTGGACTTGCTGGTGGTGGGAGGCAGTCGCACGAGTCTCCCAGGTCTAGCCTGATTCGCGCCCCTGGGGTTCCAAGTCACTGGACTGCACCACATTTATTTTATTTATTTATTTATTTTACCCCGCCCTGCCAGCCAAGGGCGGCTTACATAATATCAAATACATAATTTACAGTAAGGATGAATAATTTAAATTAAAACAATACTAAAATCATTTAAACTATACAACTCAACAAGTGCTAGTTAAGCCACAAAAGACTTTCAGACAGTGTGCAACAAGTTCCTTGCCATCTTCAGTGGGATGCTCAGTCACTACACCGGGGGCCCTGTCTCACTCCAGCTCAGCTCAGAGGTGTTGCCCATACAGCTGAAGGAGCTGGGTTGCCTGGTGGGTAAAGGCGTCTTAGAACCAGTCCCACATGCCCTCTGGGAAACCCCGATCGTGACACCCGTAAAGCCCAACGGGGACATCCGCATCTGCGCGGACTACAACTGCACCATTAATTAAGCTCTGCTGGACCACTCCTACCTGGTCCCGGTAGTCAGCCATGTCTTGGCCTCTCTGGCAGGCGCCAAGGTATTTGGAAAGTTAGACTTGGCCCAGGCCTACCAGCAGCTTCCTATGGACGATGCAACTGCAGAGGCCTAGACTATTGTAACGCACCAGGGCGCGTTCAGGGTGTGGCGGCTGCAGTTCAAGGTCAGCGTGGCCCCGGGAATCTTCCAAAATCTAATGGACTCTCTTCTTAAAGGAATTCCTGGGGTCCAGCCCTTCTTTGACGGCACTCTGATTGCCGCTCCCACAGAAGAGGACTTTGCCAGCAGGCTGCGCACCACCATCCTGCAGCAATTCCAGGAGGCCAACCTCAAGGTGAAGCGGGAGAAGTGCCTCCTCGGTGTTCCATGGGTTGAGTTCCTAGGGCTCACTGTGGATACCAACGACATCCATCTGGCCCCAGACAAGGTGCGTGCCATCATCGATGCTCCCGTGCCAACCTCCAAGCGGGAGCTTCAGGCATTCTTGGGGCTGCTGAACTTTTATCACTCCTTCCTGCCCCACAAAGCTGCGCTCACAGAACTGCTTCACTGCCTCCTCGACAAGCTGCGGCGTTCAGGGCCATCAAGGAGTTGCTCACCTCCAACGCAGTCCTGGCCCACTTCAACGAGTTGCTGCCCATCATCCTTGCTTGCAATGCTTCTCCATACAGTGTTCACACCATCCTTGGACACCAGCTGCCGGATGGCACGGAGGTCTCCATGGCTTATTACTCCCGCACCCTGTCTTCAGCCGAGCACAACTACGCACAAATCGATAAGGAGGCGCTGGCGATCGTCGCAGGAGTGAAGAAATTCCATG